TGAGAGAGTGGGTTGGAGGGAGAGGCTCGGCACGGTGGGAGCTTAGGGTACGGGAGCAGAGGGGACAGGTGGGAAAGAGAGAGTGGGGGCGAGAGGCAGGTGAGAACGGGTCCTGCGTACTGGGCTGCAGAGCTTGTTGAGTGTGAGGTGAGCCAGAGGGGGAGCTCAGCAGGAGAAGGACCTGGTTATATCTGTGTTTGGAAAGAGCTCTCTTGAACAATGTGGAGGAAGGGAGGTGGGTGACGCTGGAGGAGGCAGGGAGCAGAGAAGAAGGCACTGCAATTTCACAGGTGAGAGGTTCCGAAAGCCGAGCTGAGCAGTGGGGCAAAGCTCGGGGCCAAGGGGCAAGCTTTAGAGATTGGGGTGGCGGAGCATACATGACTGATGGCCCCTGAGATGAGGGGATGCTGAGAGGAAAGGGAGGTCGAAGTGATGAATAGCTATTTGCTTGAGTCATTCTCTCAGTGAAGAAAAGACATCAGTATTGGCAGGTGCTGCCGTGAAAAGACCCTGGGCAGACCCTGGCCACTTCTAGCCCAGCACGTCTGCATTGCCTGCATGGGAACTTCAGGCCCATGGCTTTGGCTTCTCTCCCTTCAGGAAGTCAGGCCCAGAGCAGTGTTCTCCAGAATTCTCTGGAGGTGAGAAACAGATCAAGGGGATGGTGCCAGAGAGATAGTGGGGAGCCCAAAGGAGGAGCTATCACAGCCATGCCACTCCCACATCTAACCACAGAGTTTGGTTTCTTGTAGGAGGTGCTCCATTTACTGCGAGGGGCATCACAGGAAGTCACGCTCCTACTTTGCCGACCCCCTCCAGGTGCACTGCCTGAGATAGACCAGGGATGGCAGGTAAGATGGGGTGGTACCCGCTGGTGCCTTCAAGCACCCCTTTTCTTGTCTGGTGGGTCCTGAGAAACCCCACTTTGTTTTAGGTAGGGTTCAATGCCATTTTCTTCCACTGGGGCAGGAAAATAGCTGGCCTCCAAACGTCAGTCTGTGAGAAGTTCATGAGATTCTATCTCTCTCTTCTCCTTGCCCTCCCTACTCTGCCTCTCCAATGTTTGGGTCTTCCTGTAGAGAAGTAACATGTTTAGATCTTGTCTGTGAATCTTCTGGAGCCAGGGCCTCTGGCAGCCCAAGCCTCAGAGAGGGGAAACCAGGATCAAGGGGAATCCATACAAAACCAGACTGAGGGAAGGTAAGAATTTCCATTGTGAGGAATGAAATGGAGAACAGGATGTATGTCCACCCTCCTAAAGCATGAATTAGACATGTATGGTCTAGTGCAAAGAAGAGGCATTGAAATCAGGAAAATTCAGAATTTTTGCTTTGATACCTATATTAGGTTCTCCAGAGAAATAGAATCTACGGGGTGTGTATGTGTGTGGGTATATGGGTAGTTGGAGGTGGGGGGCAGTTAGGGCATGGGCTCAGGTGGTTGTGGGGGGTACAGTCTAAATTCTAAGAATAGGCTGGTAACCTAGGGAGGAGTTGATGTTGCAGTGTGCATCCCAAGGCAAACTGGAGGCAGAATTCATTCTTTCTTGGGGATGTCAGTTGTTTTTTCCTAAGGCCCTCAACTGATTGAATGAGGCTGACCCACATCGTGGAGGGTAATCTGCTTTACTCAAAATCTGCTGATTTAAATGCAAATCTCATCTAAAAAATGCCTTCCCAGGAACATCCAGACTCCTGTTTGACCACGTGCCTTGGTTCTGTGGCCTAGCCAAGTTGACAGATAAAATTGATCGCAATGCCACTTGTGGGGTCCCCGGGACACAGACTCTGCAGCAGAGATTTGAGTGCAGGAGGTTTATGGAGCCTGCTCTTGGGGACACCCCTGTGAGGGTGAGGGAGGCAGCGTTGGACAGTCAGGGAAGTTACTGTGTGCAGCTGCAACGGGGGCCTGTGTTCATGCCACAGGGAGCTTTGGAGCTGGGATGGCCCCTCTGAGCCGTCTTGAATTAGGGCAAGAGAACCTGTGCCTTTGCATTTTGTATCAACCAGCGCTGGAGTGGGGCTGCCCCAGAGGGGACCTGACTTTGGCTGAGACAGCTCCCTTGAGTTGAGCATGATTCCTGCGGAAAGGCTAGCTGTGAGCTGTCAGTACCCAGCATTCCCAGCAGCTGGAAGATGAGGGATTCGTCCTGGGGAGGGATCTGTGTGGGTACCCTGCAATCACCTGCACCTGTTCTGCCACTCACTGGCTGCATGGACCTTGGGACAATTGCCTGACTTCTCTAGGTCTCATGAGTCATCATTTATAAGATGTGGATAAAATCGGTCCCTTATCACTGGGGTGACAGTCACTAGAGATATCACAGGGGATTTTGTGACCCAGATCCTTTTGATTCTTGGACTCCAAGAGGTCATTTGATATACACTTTGGTGTATAAAATTGCCAAGGAAAGGAAATCAGAAAGCTGCCAGCTTGGAAAAGAAGGTAGGTATAGCAGTTGTGTTGAGCAACTGACCAGGGTGCGAAGGTCAAGCTTCACATGCACAAAGATCAGGCCACAGGGCTTGTGTCTTGTGTTTTTGCTGAGGTATCTGGGAAATGCCAGGAAAAAATGGTCCTTCTGTTCTGGAGAATAGATCCACCTAGGAGGACCCAGAAAAGTCCCGTGTGAGGGCTTGGAGTGAGGTGTGGTAGGCATGCTTTCTTTCTCCTCAGACTGGAAGGCCAAGTGGAAGAGGAATTTTCATTCATTCATGTGGCTTCAGAGGTCAGATAGAAGACCAATGAAGGGAGCATTTAGTTCATAACTAGAATAAAGTAATCATGGAAAGGAGGCAGTCATACAAAATCTAGAGTAAAGTCAATCCAAGCAGAAGTGATAGCAGGTGTGAAGGAATGAACCTGGATGTTTGAGGGACAAAAAGTAACAGGTGTGCCTGGACTGCAGTTAATGGAGGGGAACGTGGAAGGGGAGAAGCTATAGCGGGAGTCAGGGGCCACATTGTGTAGGGACTTATAGGTCTTGGCCATGTGCGGATTGCATCTTGGCTGCAATGGGAGGCCACGGTGCTGGAAGTGGTTTGAGGGTGAAGGGTTAGGCAGGAGCATACCCTTGTCTGGTCTATACTTTAGAAAGACCACTGAGCTGGAGATGGACTGGAGCACAGAAGCCCTTAGTCATTCAAGTAAGATACTGCATGCAGCTTGGAATCAGGTTGCAGGCAAATAGTTGATAATAAGTAGTCAGATGTAGGATACATCTGGGGGGTAGAGCCCAAAGGATTACTTTTGGCTTAGATGTGGTCAGATGGAAAGAGAGCAAAGTTTGCCTTGGACATCTGGTTGAATGACGATACTACTTGCCGAGACGGAATGTATTTACAGAATGCAGCTTAAAGTACGCGGCAGAGAAGTGGTAGTTCTTAGTAGCATCTAGAACTGAAATGCCATAGAACAGTCAGGGGGAGATGTCAATTAGGCATTTGTTTATGGAGACCTGGCATGAGGTCAGGGCTGGAAAAGGTAGATTTGGGAATTGTCAGCAAATAATGTTATTTGAAGCCATGACGTGGATGAGATCACCTTGGGAAAGAGTGCAGAGAAGTAAGCCATGGGATCTGCCCAAACACTGAAAGGTCCAATTCAAAGAGATGAGACAGCAGGGGCGCCTGGGTGGATCAGTCGGTTAAGCATCCAACTCTTGGTTTCAGCTCAGGTCATGATGTCACAGTTTGTGAGTTTGAGCCCTGCACTGGGCTCCACGCTGATGATGTGGACACTGCTTGGAATTCTCTGTCTTCTTCTCTCTCTGCCCTTTCCCCACTCGCACTGTCCTTCTCTCAAACTAAATAAACTTTAAAAAAAAAAAAGAAATGAGACAGCAGAAGAGTAGGGGCCTGGGAGTGGTGGGAAAACCAGCAAGGGCAGAGTTCAGAGGAAACTCAAGTAGAGTAAGTGAGTAAAGGATGCTCTCAAGGACGGAGAAACCAGTTATGTTGCCAGGAGACAGAGTGAGGTGAAGACAGAGAATTGTCCTTTGGCTTTAGAAGACATAGGTCACTGGAGACCCTGATCAGAGCTCCTTTAGTTGAATGATGTAGGCAGAGGCCTGGGTGGAGTGGGTGCAAGGAGAAGTGGGGAGACACTGACAGAAATAGTGAGTACAGGCACGCGTTTGAAGAACAGAGAAATGAATGGCTTGGTGCTTGGAGGAGGTTGGGACAGGGATGCAGGCTGGTCGACCGATTGCTGTGGGGAGGTGAAAGATTCTTATCTGAATGTGCCCATTTTCACTGTCAAGTAAGAGGCAAGGTCAGGGCGATGGTTGAGGAGAGAGATGAGAAATAGAGTAGAGGGAGAGAGAATAGGAGAGAACAGGAAACGGACTTCACAAAGGAAGTGGAGAATGATTATCTAGAAGTCTTGAGTGCCCACTTGACACCTGTGCCCATACGCTTGGCATTAGTCAGTGGCTCAGAAGCAGGCATAAAGCCCACATAGAATGTCACTAGGAATTGGAATTACAATATGGCACCTGCATATAACACTGAATCGAGGCAAAATGGAGGCACATAACACAGAATGGGAACTCGGGGTTTTCTTTATTTTTAAGGGAGTGTTTATGGGATAGAACCATGGAATCTTAGCAGAGGAAGAGGGTGGAGTTAGTAGGGAAGTGGTGGTGGTAAGGTACCATGGACTGGAAGCCTTGAAGAGGGTGAAGGATCGCTATAGAGTAAGTACTGGGGATGATGAGTTGGCGGGAGAGGAATGGTTGAAAATGAGATTTTGGAGGTCTCATTACAAGAGAAAATATAAATGCTCTTACTATTTATTTCTTATCTCATCCACTTCAAATTTTAATTTTTGGTATATCCTGTATAATTTACATTGTATATCAGTAGACTAATAAGAATTCGTGGTTTATAATTTAAATTTTTTTTTTTCAACGTTTATTTATTTTTGAGACAGAGAGAGACAGAGCATGAACGGGGGAGGGGCAGAGAGAGAGGGAGACACAGAATCGGAAACAGGCTCCAGGCTCTGAGCCATCAGCCCAGAGCCTGATGCGGGGCTCGAACCCACGGGCCGCGAGATCGTGACCTGGCTGAAGTCGGACGCTTAACCGACTGCGCCACCCAGGCGCCCCTCGTGGTTTATAATTAAATAAAAGTGTAGCTTTGGAAACATAGCCCCCTCTAGTTTGGAGGAGTGGGCAATCGGCAAGGCGAGGAGATATCCAGTGTCGGGGGCAGAGTAATAGTATCTGTGTTACAGGTGAGGGCAGGGATGGGAGCTCAGCCCTGTCTGGCTCTAAAGTCTGTGTTCTCTGTCACATCAGGGGTGTAGGTCATGGGACGGAAGTGCTAAAAGATAATTTTCAGGAAAAGGTAAAATCATGACTCTCACATAGATGTAGAAATGAATATATGTTAAAGATTTTATCTAACCCATTCAGTGAAGGAACCAGGTAGATATTAAAACTGGTTCGAAAGAGATTTCAGAGGAAAACAAATTTGTTTATACAGAGTTATGAAATAGCTCAAAGTGGAAAATACAGTACAGTCAGATAACCCAGAAAGTTGTGCTGTAAACAATGCATAGTTTCCATCGATGTCTAGATTTTTTTCTCCAATAGAAAGTTGAACGGTGTTAATGTGCACAGTGTGTCATCAAAATCAGAACCTAAAAGGCCCAACAGGGATGTAAACAGTTGAGAGCAATCAGTAATGTTTGGAGAAGTGAGGGGGACACCTAGGGAAGGGAATCAGGATGGGAAGGGAGATGAGGCTGTGAAAAGGAAACATCATGGATGAGGACAGATAAAGACAAGAGTTTACAAAACTCATTTCTTATTGGAAAGTGGGAGAAAGAGTCAGTGTTACTTCTGCTTCCATGTTTTTTTTGAAGTTTTTAAATTATTAAAAATAATGTTTACATTTATCAAGAGCTTCCAATGCCTGAAGCTAAGGGGTTTAGAGATGGTTACTTGGGTCATCTCGGGCCCAGTGGGAGCTGGGGTCCTGACAGCGGGCGACTGACCCCAGAGCCCATCTTTTAACTGCTTTGCCCTACAATCACAAAAAAAAAAAAAAGGTTATTTTTAAAAGAAGCACTTTTTAGACTTTGCTTAGTGTGCACCATTGATCCAATAACCCTTAGCATTTCTTTTAATAGACACCCGTGCTCTCAGCAGACAAAGAATTCACCAGGGCAACTTGCACTGACTCTGAGCAGAGCCCGAGTCTGGATCAAGAGGACAGCCGGAGGGACAGTGCCTCCCCAGACACAGGGGAAAGCTTGGGTCCCGGGCCTGAGTCTTTCCAAAAGGCCACTGGCAAGGCACAATGGGACCAGGACATAGAGAGACCCTGGGCCACTTCCTCGATGCGTCCTCAGGATTCCCCCCCTCATTTATGCAGACTTCAGCAAGAAATGGATGCATCCACATTGGCCACCTCTTTGGAAAGGGATATGAGGCAAAACTGCTATTCAGTTTGTGATATGAGGGGACTTGAAAGGTAAGAATCACCACGTTTGCAGACACTTTGTAAATGGTATCATTTCATTGCTAGAAATTGCAATCAGTTAATAACTGTGTTCAGATGCTTACTGGGCCCAGGACTCTGCTAGGCCTTTGGAGGGGAGGTGGGAAAAAAAGAAGCATAAGGTTTGGAGTGGCTGCAACCACAGTTTGTGAGCTTTTGGGAAAGCTACCCTCACCCCATGGTCCCCTAGTACCCTTGGAGCCTGCGGATGGCAGGCCTCTGTTTTTTCCCAGCACACAAACCTTTGTGGTGCATTCTTCATGGCCTTTTAAAGCATTGTGGTAAGAAAGAAGTTCCCTGTATGCATCACCATTTTTTATTGCTAACGTTACACTTTACAGTCAACACCGGCTTAAAAAAAATCTATCTTCAAACACCAGACTGAAACGTTCATTTTCATAGCCACTTTTAAAAAGTTCGTTTATTTATTTTGAGAGATGGGGGCAGGAGGGGCAGAGAGAGAGGGAGGGAGAGACTCCCAAGTAGGCTCTGCACCTTCAGCGCAGAGCCCGATGAGGGGCTTGAACCCACGAACCGTGAGAGTCAAGAGTCGATGCTTAACCAACTGGGCCACCCAGGTGCCCCATTAATAGTCATTTTAACTCAGGCTTCATTTTGTGCCCGTCCCCCACAAGTATTTCCAGTTTTCCATCCTGTTCTGCTGAAAAACATTCTCTTTGATTCAATTTGATGGTATTTATCATGTAGAGTCAAGGTGCAGGGGAACCCGTTAGGAGCAGAGAGAAGGTACAAATACTAAGAAAGGGTGAGATACTACTTCGAGGCACGTGCTAGCTAGATACACAGGCACAAAGCAGGCAAATAATGAGGAACAATGGTTTGTGTTTGACGCTGTATAAACCCACTGCTATGAAATGGCTCTTTTTTGTTGCTCATCCTGGAAGACTAACTAGGGCAGATCTGTAGGGACTGATAGGTGACATGAAGTCTGAGGCAGCAGGTGTAATGAATGCAGTTAGGCAGGGCGAGATCTGTGACTAACAGGTGCCAGGCATGTGTTCCCTAAAAGCATCCAGACACAATTTTTATAAGTATACTGCACCCGCCAAACAAAAACTAGTGTGCCAAGTAGAACAGAGTGGGCAAGCACGATTCACCAGTAGAATTCATTTTCATTGTCTGAAAATGCATAAATACAAGTGTATTTATAGCTTCTTACAATTGCATTCTAGGCAGTAATAGATACATTTGATCACATGATAAAGGAAATAATCTACAGAGGTTTATCCAAGGACAACTATTAGTGTTATCTTATAGGAAATATAGAAGGGACTGTACTTCCTTATAGGCATGAAGCTCCTCTTTTGGATTTTTAAAAGTTTTACTGCCAGAGAGTTCAGGGTGATGGATGGAAATGACGAGCATTGGATTATAAAGTGACTGTGGGTTTAGGTACAATACTGGAGTTTAACTTGCCATGTGCTTGTAATCTGATATAGTTATCAGCTATTAATAATTGGCTTGTTTGTTTTTACTAATTGTTAGTTTGGTCACTGTTTCATTCATGGAGTCACAGAATCTGGGGGTTGTTCGATAAAAAATGATCTAATCCAACCTCATATCCCGTCGTGAAATCTGTTGTGTAATATCCCCGCAGTAGGGGGCCTGCTTTGCTTGAATACCTCCAGGGATGCAGAACTTGCTACCTCTTTTTTTTTTTTTTAAGGTTTATTCATTTTTTAGGGACAGAGACAGAGCATGAGTGGGGGAGGGGTAGAGAGAGAGGGGGACAAAGAATCCGAAGCAGGCTCCAGGCTCTAAGCTGTCAGCACAGAGCCCGATTCGGGGCTCGAACCCATGACCTAAGCTGGTCAGACACTCAACCACCTGAGCCACCCAGGCACCCCAGAACTTGCTACCTCTTAAAGTGGCCCGTTTTATCACCATGTGGTTGTTGATCAGAAAGTGCTTCCTTGTGTTAAAGTGAAATCTGCCTTTTTCTGTGTTCTACTTATACATAGATGCTTGTGTCCTATCTTTTTTGTCATTATTTTTGCAAGAAATATCACATTATATTATTTTTCTGAATCAAATTAAATTTGACTTAGTGTTCCTACTTGAAAGGGTGTACCCGATGTCCAAAATATTCCATCTTTGGAGGGGGTTTTTCTCTCCTAGAGTTACACAAGAATCCTGAGGGCTTTTCCAGAACATTCTGGGAGCGCTTTTGATATTCAGTTGGTTGTGGTTGCTGCCCCATGCTTGTTGTCCAGGCCGATGTGGTCCAGGGAGCCACAAGTAGGACGGTCTTACTGTTTCTCTGTCCTGGTTCCCTCCATGGTCAACACCTCCCCTTTGCACTTGACCTTTCCTGTGATGGTCCTGGTAATGACGATGCTCTGTCTTCTCACATTTCCTTACTTCACTTTTACCATGTTTTCTTCCCCCTATTCAGGGACCTTTCTCTGTCTCTGAAGGAAGGACTCAAACCACGTTAGCTTCTCCTCTAATGGGACGCTAGCTTGCTCTAGATGCATATATAGTGACTGTCTCCTATGGGAAGAAAAGCACGACACATGCCCAGCCGCCTCTGAACACATTCCCCCAGTTCCTGGTGGGGTTGTGGCTCTTCGCAGATGCCTTTTAGAAGTGTCTGTACCTCAGTTCTGAGGCGGCTGTCCCAGGCAACTGCTCTTTCTGGAGTTTAGAACAAAAAGAGCATGGACTCCTTGATTGTCTAGCCTTGGCTTCAGCTCTACCACATACTGTGTGTGCCGGGAGTGTTGACTTCTCAGAGCTTGAGGTTTCTCAAATGTAAACAAAGACCACAACAGCCCCACAGGGCACCTCGCGGGCCAAAAGAAGTAACACAGGCAGAGTGTTATCACAGCACCTGGCTCCTGGCTCGCAGCGGGAACTTAACACAAGTCAGTTTCTTTCTCTTTCTTGAATTATTTCCAGCTAAAGAACAGGTCCTGTCAACTGAAATTCCCAGCAAACTGCCAGAATTTACCGTCTACCAGGTGGCTACTCTTAAAGCCAGGTGGGCACCCCAGCAAGCCCAGAGTAGTCATAGAGAAGATGAGGTTTTACTTTTCCTTCCTTCCTTTCTCTTTTCTTTTACAGTTGTATATCTGAAGACTGCCATATCGCAGTAGATCTTTAGAAAGCATGTTAATAAAGCAGTACAGTATATTTCCATGGAGGAAGGTTAGAACTGTGTGCCTGCTGGCAGGATGGCTTGGCACTTGGCTAGAGTTGCATCTTATGCAAGGTTTATTTCTAAAGTTAGGGCATAAGGCAAAAATCACATCAAGTCACATCACCCTGGAACATCACTTTGGAAGGCGCAATGTTATTTGCTCCCCTGGTAGGGGGACAGATCACCTTTTCTTTGGTTGAGCCTCAGGTGAAGGGCCTTGCTGTCTGCCAAATGGTTATCTTTAAATGCTGGACTCAGAGGAATGAATGGGGATGGCAGATTCAAGGCTTCCACTTGGCCTAGGGGCTACCACGCCCTCTCCACACACTCTGACCCCCTCACCTCTTGCAAGGAGCTTACTAGAAAGATTGGAGGCAGATGGTGGCAGGCGGTAAGGGGTGAACTATCAGGCACTGCAGTGGCCCGTGGGCACGTGTTGCCACCTGCTTGTCCTCTGCCTGGAGGGAGGAGGGTAGGCAGGTTCCTGCTATGGACAGGGTGGGGTGCGGTGTGGGCTGACTTCGGCAGCAGGCTGGATTTCCCATATTCTGATGAAACTTCCACATTGTCCCCTTCCATGTTTATAAGAAAATGCATTTTCTACACAATTTGGTCAAGTGCTTTAAGGTTTTAAACTGATTTTTCCTCAAAGTGCTTAGTGATTTTAAATATTACTTTCTTAAAGTGAGTGTTCTCCTTTTATTCCTGGTAGCGTACAGTCTCCTTTTTGTGCATGTGAATGTGCATATATTTACATGAAACACACATTGACATATACCTGTAGGTCTCCTGAGCAGAAATAACGTCTTTTTGACAGTGAAACTCAGGTTGGGACAGACATACCACTTCTCCCAGGGAGGAGGACAGGCTCTCTGGGGGTTTGGGGGCCTGTAGCTATTGAGGGGCACCAGAGCTGAGTTTACAAGAAAGAGGCGTTTCGAGAAAGGGAAGGGAGGACAGCGGGCACATAATAAAGCCAACCCATTGCTTTGGGTGTGGTGACAGAGGCTGATAAATGAGGATTTGCGTGTTTGGTGAAAAGCTAAACCTGTGCATTTTTTTTTAGATTTTCCTACTCACCCTCTCTAACCAGGCTTTCGACAGATATTTTCTGAGCACATTCTCTGCATGTTTGAAGCACTGTACAAAATGCTCTGCCGTCTGTATGGACTGCTTTTTCTAATCAAAAGGCGTGTGTGGTGACCTTTGGGCAGCCCCTGGAAGGCTTATTCTTCATGTTGTGTCTGCGTCTTCACTGCCAGACAATGCGCCCCACTCACCGTTCATCTGCCTCCTGTGTCACACCGGGAGTAAATGTCACTCCAGCTGGCTGCCTTTCCAAATAGGCACTTTCTCAGCGCTCAGAAAAGGACTCGATATTTGCACAGAGTGCTTTGAAGGTCACCTGCTTGAGTTGTTCCCAGCCTCCCGCTTTGGCCCTTTCCCTCTAACCCCTCTGTTGAAACGGCATTCATAGTCATAGCGATAACAGCCCCTCCTATTTACTGAGGACTTACCCTGCACCAGGAGCCATGGACGGATGTACCAGAATTATGTATTCTAAGCATCCCAGAAATCCTATAAATTTCTCGACCTTCTCACTTTTCAGATGGGAAAACTGAGGTCCCAGAGAAGTTAATAAGCTTTCCCGAGAACCGAAGTCATGGCCCAGAATGGAGGCATAGCTCTGCTTTTGATGCCATGTCCTCTGGCAAGTCCCCCATGGTCTCCTGGGCTCCGTAAGGAGCTCCCCTTGCTCCCATAATGCTCTGTGCTGCCGCTCCTATAGCACTTTCTTCCTGGATTGTAACATTTGTTCACCACTCACTCTTCCCATTAAATCAGGGGATCCTCAGGCACAGGGGCCATCCATATCTTATCCAATGTTCAGAACAGTCTCTGGCAGGAGCTGTTTGGACCCTGGCTGGCTCTCCTACGATGTGCTGTGATGATCATCCTGAAAGCAAGGCAAGATGGGGAGAGGAGTTTCTGATCAATGCTGGAAGACACATGGGTTTCTGTTTTCTAGTCCTGAATTGGACAGGGATGATGAGGAAGGGGACATGTGCCATCTACCTGAAGCCACTTCTCTCACTGTGGAAAATGAAGCCTATCTTACCATCAACTCTGCATGGGAAGGCCAGCTACTCTGTGAAGAATGTTTGGAGGAAGATTCAGGGACCATTCCCTTGCCACAGTTCTGTTCTTGGAGTGCCCTCTCGGAGTCTTTGCCTGCAGAAGAGGCTTGTGAGAGTGACAGTGAATGGGAAGACCTGGAGGAGGCTGTGGACCCGGAAGATGGCACCCTCAGGTGGGTGTCACTCTGGGTGGACTGAGGCTGGGCTCAGTGTTCAGTCCACTTTGGCTGGGTGATGGTCTGTGGGCATCACCTCGTTCCCCTTGCATCCCCT